GAGGCTGTCATACTTTCCTACCATTTAGCATAGATATATGTAAGGCAGGGAAACATTATTGTAAGCGACTTCATTTAGGTGTTGCTTTTCCTGACCTTATTTCTTCAGGTGTAGTCGGTACAAGGCAAAAAATGGGTTTTGTTTTATGGCAAATCCAATCTTTATGTACAAAGAAGGAGGATTCCTAAGTCACAAGTGATGGCTAACACAGCTAAACTCTTTGAAGAGGAAACCAAGAGCTAAAACCTTCCTTTTTGCTTCTTTTCCCCACATTACATTGAAGGTAAACTAAGGCTGAAAATGGGCAACGCTACAAGTCCCTGGAGATGGTTTATCATTGCATGTTCAAAACATCTCTTAGATGTTGGTCCCATCATCCAGACTGCAAGATGCCTAGATTAATATCTCACTACTTCACTTCATTTGTAATGAAGAAAATAGTAGTGGTCATTTCTTGGTATCTGATCAGTCTTGTGGTAGGGAAGGTAGATAACAGCTTGTCTGTGTACTAGTATCCATTTGAGTCCTGTTTTCTCTGAATTTGGAATTAACAGAGCCAGTTAAAGGTCCTGAGAAGTATAAATTTAGGAATTTTGGTGTGTCAGGAACTAAGATGGTCTAGCATACACACTTGCACCTGCTGAACTGGAGAAAAGACCCACTTTCATTCATTCTTATTCCAGATCTCAAATTAGCTGGTTTTTTCCTCTGCCTGTATAATCTTCATCCTGTTGGTTTTTGAACTCCAGACAGAATCTGGCTTTATCACACATACACCTTCTAGAAATCTAATTCCTCACCCTTCTTTTCATGCTCTTTTTCTCTCTTCTACCTGTTGATCAGCTGAGTAATGAAGTTCCATCATAGGTTCTGGCTATTTTGAGACCTGAGTTCTCCTGCCTTGAGGCACACATCAGCATAACTAGTTCCATTCATCACTGCTACACAGCTTTGTGGCTTCTAGGTGCCTGCTGCACTACTAGTCAGTTGGAGCTTCTTCTGGCCAGAGCAATTTCATGACTGTGGTCAGCTGCAACAGTCATAAAAACATGGATGTATTGTCTAAGAGCTCATTCTAAACAAAAAGGTGCGGTCATGTGATAACACAAAATCAAATAGTAGTTACCAATACCTCAGTTGCAATCTTTATGCCTGGTAGACTTAAGAATCTGATGTAACTCTTGCCACTCATCTCCTCTGATCCATACCTCTTCTCTGGACTACAGAGCTGGAGAACTTGCCTACCCTCCCATAACAAGGATTTAATAGCCCAGGCTCTGTGTGTATTCAAATTATAGCCTCAGTGCTCCATTAGTGTGCATTTCTATCACTTTCACTACTTACATATTTGAATGTCTGCTAAATAGGTTGTTCTAGGAAAAAAGAAGAAAGGGTCATATTTACTTAGTGTAATAAGAAAATAGAAGAGGAGCAGAAAATTGAGAGCTGCCAGCAACTCTACCCAGTATTTTGCAGCTGAGAGGGTTTGCATTTAACAGCCAAGGCTATTAGACCACATCAGATCTTCTAATTTGCCAAAAACACTTTGGGGAGAGATGTTCCCTGGGTGAAGCCAAACAGCAGCTACAGTGTCTGTGCTGTTTCATATCAGGGAGTGACCCATCAGTGTGAGGGTTTGGGAGGACAATATCAAAAAAGGAGATTCTACACTGCAAATTGCTCAGACTATGGAGGAGATTGAGTAAGAGGCAGAGATCATTAGAGGAAAAACATGAGGAAGGAAAGCTGGGGGGCAACGGGTATCTGTTTGATTTAGAAGAGCAGAGACAATAAAGTAGACTTATGTACACAGGCAAAATTTTAGTCTAAGAAGCATCTCATTGGTATGGAGAAAGGCTCCTTTTGATCTCTGATGTATAATTGCTGGTTAAGGACACAATGAAATATTACAGAGAAATTGGGCAGAAAGATTTCAGCAGCCACATAATGAGGGACACAAGATCAGGATGAGATTTGGGAAAGTTGAAGATGAGAGCAGAAGATAGTTTTGGAGCTAGAAGAAAAGACCATTAGAAAAGAGAGTCAAATTCTAAATTGGGGTCCTACTTTGACCTTATAGACAGAAGAAGTGTAAAGAGTGTCTCAGAGATGAAAATGGAGATAATGTTCTGCTAGCCAGGACAGTGCACTTGAGATAAGGGTGGTGAAAAAAAGGACATGTATCCCTACAGAAAATCAGTCAACACAGCTGAATTTCCTGTTTTCAACCTACTTTTAGGACATCCTTTGGCATATGTTTCCAGCACCAGGCCAACTCTCCAAGCTGGCACACAGATGAAAGCAAAGCCTGACCTGTTCCCACAGGATCTGCAGTGTCACCTGCTCTGTCACCTGTGCATTTTGCCAGGGCTTCTGGAGCCTTTCCCTACTCTTGCTGAACAGTTCAACTCTTGCCCAGGGAACAAATTTGCCTTTGTGGGCACACATGGGAACAGTGCAAAAGGATCTTCAGTGCAAAGAGGCTTGGCTGGGCTAGTGACAACTTTTGCCACAGAGAGGATGCATTACAACCTCAAGTGAAAGCAACTTTCATATTTTAGTTTGTATCTCAGGGTAGGTCAATGCCATCTCATATAAAAAAAGAAAATCCCACCAACAAATACTTGTAGGATATTTTCTTTTTTTTTATTGGATGTAGGACAGTTTTGTCACCTGAGGACAAGCCTGGTTTATCTTCCCAGAGAAGGGAAGTCCTCACCAGAACATAAACCTAGGTAGGGGAGCCAGGGAGCCACAAGGGTTGTCAATTATTGCCAAGTGTTTGTTGCAGAGGCTACGGTAGCAATGTGTTACATTTCTGGTGCATTTTACATCTGAGAATCAACTTGGAGGTGAACAGAGAGGAGAACAAAGCTCTGACCTCAGCTCAATAACCCACTTCAGGGCTAGCAGATGACTCACCTACACCTCTACTTTAAAATTATAGAATTCTTACTGTTGGAAAAGACCTTCAAGATCATCAAGTTCAACCATTAGCCCAGCACCACCACGTTCCATGTTCCACACTAAACCACGTTCCCAAGTGCCACTTCCACACATTTTTTTTAAACACTTGCTAAGATGGCCATTCAAACACTTCCCTCAGCAGTTGCACTCTTCACAGTTCCAATGTCTGTCCCTCCTTTCAGTCAATTTTTTTCCTAGATCTAGACCTCCCCTAGTGTAACTTGAGGCCATTTCCTCTTCTACCACTGGTTGCCAGGGAGAACAGGACATCCCACACTTGGCTGCAGCCTCCTTTCAGGGAGTTGTGGAGAGCGATAGGGTCCCCCTGAGCCCCCTTTTCGTCCCCCTGAGCCCCCTTTTCTCCAGGCTCAACACTCCCAGTTCCCTCAGCCACTCCTCATAGCACTCACTGTCTAGACAGCTCCCCAGCTCTGTTGCCCTTCTCTGGACAAGCTCCAGCACCCCCATGTCCTTCCTGTCCTGCGGGTCCAACAGCTGGACACGGGACTCGAGGTGCGGCACCACCAGTACAGGGGGTACAATCACTGCCCTAGTCCCGCTGGCCACGCTATTGCTGATCCAGGCCAGGATGTCGCTGGCCTTCGTAGCCACCTGAGCATTTTCAGGGCATGTCCCGGCCACTGCTCCCCCCTGCAGCGGCGGGACGCGCCCGCTTCCCGAGGAAGCACAAGGGCTCCCGGGGCCGGGCCGCGGCCGCCTCAGCCGCCGCCTTTCCCGGCAGCTGCAGGGCCGGTTTCCATGGAGACCGCGGGGGAGCCCTGGCGGAGGGGCCATGTCTGCGGGGACTGCGGGGGGAGCCATGGCGGCGAGGGGCGGCGGCCTTAACCCTTCGCTCGGGAGCCTGAGGCTTCCCCGCGGG